TCACCCCGGCGGCGAGCCTGCCCTCCGGGGGACGCCGGGCAACGGCGGCAGACATTCTGGGCTCTCATGCCTGGGAGGCGCCCCTGGCGTCTCGTCTCGTGCGCGGAGGTCAGGGTTGCTGCCCGGCGCCCTGCAGAGCACCGGGCAGCCGACCCTGACCCCGCGGCCACGACCTCCCCGCCCCGGTCAGTAGTGCGGACCTGGGAGGCTTCCCCGCCCCGCGAGCACGGAGTCCCTCTCTCCCCCGCGCCTCGGCGCCCCCGTCTGTAGGGCGGACGTCACGTGCGAGTCCCGGCAGTTCCACCGGGCACAGTATCTGGCTCAAAACAGTGAAAGGACACGTGAGCTCGCAAGTCTGCAGCTCAACGGTTCTGTCAGGACGGGGACGCCTCCCTCTAGTTTGAGTGATCTTGGAGAGCGACGTGAATCCTGGGGGCTACGGAGAATTCCCTCCGCGGAGCTGAGCTGGGGACTCGGGGTCGGGGATGCGGCATCTCGGGCCGTCCGGGTGCCTTACGTTCTCCCGGGTGAACGTGGGCCGGTGGTTGTTGCCTTCTTGCACGTTCACGTGAACTGTGGCCGTGGACGTCAAGGGAGGTTCTCCCAAATCCTTCGCTCCAACAAGCAGAGTAAACCGCGGAGCAGTCTAGGCGGGAAGGACAAGAACGGTCAAGCCCTCACACACAGCAAAGGGAGGTATTAATAAAGTAATAATGCATTATTGCAAATTCAGTAGCAAGGCCAGCCACAGAGGGTTTTCCACTATAAACATAAAAAGTCTGGGCTCTGAGATCAAGAACACATCTCATTTTTTCAAAATAATAAATTCCACATAACCTCATAATCTAAGCATCCTGACAGCTGCATTTCTCCGCTAATCGGGTCAATCTGGAAGCCGCTCTCTTTCAGTGATGGCGTTTGAGAGATAAGGAAGTAAAGGACTTGAGAGTTTGGAGTATTTTCTTCATCCAAATCAACTGTTAACATCTTGAAGATAGGTTGACCTGGAAAGAATTGTTTTAATGTTTACTATCGACCAAAAGAAGCCTGACAAACCAATGGAATGATGATTTTTTGCTAAATGGCATTGAGACATCCACCAGAATGGATTAAATATTTAAATATAAAATCAAACTGTGGATATGCTATAAAAAAATAAAGAGGGATATTCAAATAGTCAAAAGAACTTCCTCTTTTTTTAAGATTTTATTTATTTATTTGAGAGAGAGAGAAAGAGTGCACGTAGAGGGAGAGGGAGAAGCAGACCCCTGCGAGCAGGGAGCCCAACATGGGACTCAGACCCAGGACCCTGGGATCATGACCTCAGCCGAAAGAAGACGCTTGCCCGACTGAGCCACCCAGGCGCCCCTAAGTAGTCACGAGAACTTTCTAATCATGATTGCAAATGCAGAAGACGTAAAGGAGAGCATTGACAGAGCACACAGATTTTGAAGTGTGTGCCAAAAAGAACTATGTAGACAACATTAAAAAAGAAATGATAAACCAGGAAAACATATTTAAAATATACATGGCAGACATAAACATTTTTAATACCGAATGAGAAGGTTAAAAATCAAGAAGAAAAACGACAAGCACACAAACAGAAATGGACAAAGAAAAGAACCGTGTATCTGTCCGATACACAGAAGTGGACAAACGTGCGAGCATTTAATGATCAAAGACGAGCCCTGTGCCAGGTGCCCTCAGATGTTGCCGGTGGGTGAGAAAAGCAGAACCCTTAAATTGTGTGTGCAGTCAGAACCAGCCACTCTACTCCTCTAAATTGTGACCAGTGAATAATGCTTCAGTGGACACAGATTTAGCTCAAAGATGTTCACTGAAGCATATTTCGTGAAGATAACAAAAAGTGGAAATAGTGCATCAATGTCTAACAATAGATTAGTTAAAAAACCTTAAGCACATCCATGAAATAAAATATTACATAATCAGATGCTGAGGGGGCACACGGTTAGGTTACAAACAGTAGATTTGCCCATTTAGAAAAGAAAATTCATAACTATACAAGTATGAAAAAACACCCGCACATTTGTAAATATTTCATATATACTTATATACCTTTTGCACTATGATAAAGATGAAAAATGCATAATTAATTACATCTAAAATCGGAGAATATATACACATAGATAAATACATAGTGTGTGTACTCACACACACATATAAAATTCAAAGAAAAATACTGAAAGAATAAAAACTAAAACATGGATGGTACTTACCTCTAATTGGAAGTATTAAATATACTTTCTAGTTCTGTCTTAATTTCTTGGAATTTTTCCAAATTTTCTGAAGCCTCTTTTGTGAAATAAATAATGCTTTTCTGTTATGAAAGTAGATGCACATTCTAGTGAGACTGGTTTGGATTTAAAGACTCACAGACTCTGCAGCTCAGAAACTTGAGATGTCATCTCGTTGCCATTTTCCAGGAGAGAAGTTTACAGAGCTATCCAGGAAGGCACCGTTCCACTCTGCCTTTTCCCCTCAGTGCATCTGACTTATTTGAGACTGGCCTTCACATATCAGCTCTTGCAACAGACACAATTTCCATCTCATTTTATTGCCCATACAAAACGATGCTTACAGACCTCCAAGCATTCTGCTCAAAACCAGAGCCTGCCACCTTCGGGATGTGAACAGTAACATTTCTCCCAAAAGACAAGGAGGATCGGGCACCACACCAGCATCGAAGCCGGGGTACCAGAGAGGCCCCGTGGGGAGAGGACGCCCTTGCGCCCCAGTCTCACACACCTGCCATGTGGTTCTCCTTCACACTGATGTGGAATTCCTTCTCAGGAAACTGGGGTGCGTGATCATTCACATCACGGATCCTAATGTTGAAAATCAAGGAATTATCCAAGAGCTTTCCTGTAAAGCGATCCATGACGTCAAAGTAAACCTGGGAAGCAGAGAGCGAAGTTAATGTGGGATCGTTTACTTGATGGCACGGTACATGTTAATGTCCTCGCATGTTCTGCGTCCTCTCCTGCACAAGCTGTAAAGTTTCTGGGGCCAGAGACCATGTCATTGCTGTCCTTCACCACATGACCCCGGGGACTGAGCACAGTGCTGGCATGGACGAGGTGCTCAGTAAATATTAGTTATGATCGGGTTCTAATCTCAGTCTTTCTACCCGGGTAAACGTAACCACCTTGTTTAGGAGCCTCGGTTTCTGCTGTTGGTGCCGTCATGAGAATACAGACGCTGACCAATACTGCGGAGAAACCATGGCGAGCAGACATTAGAAGTTCTGGGAAAAGGGAACTGAAAGTAACCAGCCCAGCTGTTGACATATTGTGGGTTCTGGAGTGATTAGTGATGTCACTTCTGTGCTTGAAGAAGGAGGCTCCACTTGTCTCAAACATGACACGAGAAGTCTTTCCTCTCAAAAGATCTCAAAGGTATACTATGGGCTTCTCACTTCGGTTTCTTAAGAACTTTAAAAAAAAAAAAAAAAAGGAGAAAATTGGGATGCCTGAGTGGCTCAGTCGGTTAGGCATCAGACTCTTGATTTCGGCTCGGGTCACGATCTCAGGGTCAAGGAACCCAGCCTTGTGTGGGGCTCGTACACAGCTGGGAGTCTGCTTGGGATTCTCTCTCTCTGCCCCTCCTGTCTCTCTGTCTCTTTGTCTCTCTTTCTAAAATAAATAAATAAATCGTTTTAAAAGGAGCAAATTAGACTCAAACAGAAAGAAGGAAATAAAAAAGATAAACACAAGATATCAGTAAGATTCAGAATAGCAAAACAAAGTCAACACAACCAAAAGCTAGTTGCCTTCCTGTATACAGTTTGGTTTCAGCTTGTTGAGATCGATGCAAAGGTCTGCTAGTCTTTCAATTAGTCTAGAGAACTTATAGATAAATTTGGGAAGAATTATGCCTTTAATACTCAATCTTTCAATCCGTAAATACAGTCTGTTTTTTCGTTCAACTAGGTCTTCCTTGGTTTCTTTCATTTGTGTTTTATAGCTTTAAGTAAACAGATCCTACACAGAATTTAGATTTATGTCTAAGCACTTCATTTGCTTTGGTGATATTATAAATAATACTGTTTTTAAAACATTGACTTCCACTGGTATATACAAATACAATTGATTTTTATATATTAACTTTATTTCCTGGGACCTTGCTAAAATTGATTTTCAAATGTTAAAAATAGGCAAAGGATTTGAACAGACAAATGTCTTTTTCTCCAAAGATATACAGATGGCAAATAATTCCTCATTCCTTTGGCGGTTTCTTACAAAACAAAACATCCTCTAACGGTGCAAACCAGCAATCATGTTCCTTGATATTTATGCAGAAGCGTTGAAAACTTACGACCACACAAAAACCCGTACACAGATGTCTAAAGTGGCTTTATGCATAATCATCAAATATGGAGGCAACCGAGATGTCCTTCACTTGGTGAATGGACAAGCTGCCATGCGGCCAGAAGGTGGAGCGTTATCCCGCACTAACAGGACCTACAGGACTCTGCAGTGCACCCTGGTAAGTGAGGGAAGCCGGTCTGAGCAGGCTGTATACACTCCGTATGACTCCAACCATGTGACATCCTGGACAAGGCAAAATAGGGAGACAGCAAAAGGATCGGGGTTGCCGGGGGCTCAGGAAAGAGGGATGGATGGACAGTGGAGAGGCTGGGGGAACTGTTAGGGCAGTGAAAATACTCTGTGTTGTACTGTAAGGGTGTATACGTGTCATATACAGTTTGTCCAAATGCATAGAGTGGGCAGCCCCGGAAGTGAGCCCTAATGGGAGCGTATCGTATTGGCTCAAACGCTGTCGTAAATGTACAGCAGCGATGCATCACGTTAGTGAGAAGGAGACCTGTGGGGGGGGGCAGAGGGGAGCAGGAGCTCTGTACTATCCACTCTCCTCTTCCATCAACCTAAACAGCTCTAAAAAGAAAGTATTAATTTAAAAAAGTCCCTACGTATAAAATAAAAAGTGGGCAACCATATCTACGATTTATTTTTGTTTTTCTAAATAAGGAACGCCTCACAAATTTGCCTGCCATCCTTCCGAGGGGCGATGGTAATCTTCTCTGGATCATTCCAGTTCTAGTCTACATGCTACCGAATGAGCGCCATATATATATTTTCAAAAAGTGATTTATCTATTTATTTGAGAGAGGGAGCCAGGTGGGGAGAGGCAAAGGGAGAGAGAGAAAAGTCACAAGCAGACGCCCAACTGAGCGTGGAGCCCACTGCAGGGCTCCATGCCAGGACCCTGAGATCACAACCTGAACCAAAATCAACAGTCAAACTCTTAACCCACTGAGCCACCCAGTATATGTAACAGATGTTACGTATTATATATTGGGACCCTCAGTAATTGTTATATGTTGTCACCACAATATATGTATTATATATTACGTATATTATGTAATATATTACATGTGTTATGCATATTATATATCACACATATACATAATATACATACATAATAATATATACATAACATATGTGATGTGTTATAGAACATACATAATACATGTGGTTTACATGTTAAAATAAGTCTGATGCGACTTGCCACTGAGTCTCTGCTGCTCTCGGATGAACAGTGGTTTTTTTGGTAGAAAGGTGAAAAGACTGTGGGGGGTCAGCGCTGAGGCCGGAGTTCAGAGTCCCAGAAAAAGGAGTGAGCAGGAGGGACGTCGCGTGTGGAGTCGCTCTCCAGGCGGAGGACAGTCTGCTCTGGGAACGGTGCTTCCTCGAGGGCTGTCTGCTAAGGGACACGGAGCAAGCACGGGGTTTATTCCGGGGAAGCGGCTTCAGTGAGGCCCAGGACCGAGCTCCTCCGCCGACCCCCTCCTCCCTTCCTTGCAGAAGCCCCGGAAGGAGGCATTGTTGGCGCCCCACTGCACGCCACGGAGAGGTTCCGTGGCTGTCCTTACTCGGTGCAGCCCAGATTCAAGTCCAAGTAGCTGTGGACTTGGCTGCACCAAGTCCACAGCCACCCAGAGCCCAGAGCAGGCAGCTTCAGCTCCCGGGGGTCTCAGCCCCCTCCAGCCTCAGGCAGCAGCCCGCCCCTTTCCCCAGAGCCCACGGGGTCTCTGCTGCACCGAGCTCCCTGGGCCTCTTTCCTGCAGACTTGTCCGCTTCCCCTCATCAGCCTCCACCATGGTGGTCCCCACAGCTCTCCCGCAACAGTGGCCGGGGCCCCAGGCTCTCCGGGGTTAGCTGTCTCTTGTCCCCTCAAGACCACGGAACTGGTCTATTCCGGGGAATGCAACATACATTTTTAAATTTCTGGGCAAGCAAATTGGCTTCTCGCACACCATCTCCGCAGGCTCCTGTATAATTTATGGCCGCACCGGGTACTCGGCTCCCGAGTCACACGGACGTCTGGCTCTGACACGGCGCCAACTGCAAGGCTTCCACTTAAAAATAAGCACTGCCTGTTTGTTTTGTGTTATTATCTTACATTCCATTTATGATCCTAAAAGCCACATTGGAGACCGTCAGTTCTCTGGGACGCCTGGGAGGCCCACGTGCTGTTTATGCCTTGGCAAGACGCTCAGAACTTCTGGGGACTCAGAATCGCAGCGGGGAAAGGGAAGGTCATGGATGTCGTCTGCACTTGGAAAGGGTTTTCAGCCTTTTGTTACAGACTTAAGATTTACATCCTGGGATGACACACCGCAGTGTGGTGGCGTTCGGGGGGGAGGGAGGGAGACGTATGACCACCGAAATGACAGGGCGGGTCAGGCGCTCTTGGCCACAGACGAGCACACGGGAGAAAAGGCAAACACGCTAGACGAGGCCCCTTGTACGCGTCGGTGCAAGGAGGCGGCGAGGAGTGTGTCGGCGTGAAGACCCGCAGGGGATCCGAGGAATATGAAGAACGACTTCGCTGCGCGTGTTTGTGTCCGATGACACTGAGCATGTCCTGACATAAACGGGTGGGATCCCGCCCAGAGATTCAGACTCGCCCCCCTTCCGGCCACGTCGCATCTTGCGGCAGAGCTCGGCGGCCGTCGCGGCGCTCTCACAGGCTTACGGAATTATCAAGAAGTGAGCCCCTCCCCGCCCCACCCCCACCTCCCAAACACAAGCTTTTCATGTTTTTGGCTAATTCTCGTGCCCCAGGAGCACAGCAGTGCTACTGGGAAGGCCCTTTGGCCCACCCTTGGGCTGACGTCGCTTCTAATACACGCTGGCTTTACGCACGGCCGAGAGCCGGTAACAAGCATCCTGCAGAGGCAGGTGGCTGAGCTGGAAGGCCCGGCCTGGGCGGTGTCTCTGTGACCCCGGCTTAGCCCACTCTTCACAGCTGGCAACCCTGCTCATCAGCCTGTTTCTGTCTTCCTGGAAAGTCTGTTAACCTCTGCTTGCTAGTTTCCTCTCTCTGCTATGACAACCAGGTGCCTTCCAACAAAACGTGCTGTCCCATGCTTCTGGAGACAAGACCTGCAATCCGGGTCAGCAGGCTGGGTTCCCTCTGGTCTGCGCCTCTCCCCCAGCTGCTGGGGACGTCCAGCAATCCCAGTGTCCTCTGCTTACGGATGTGCCACCCCGTCTCTGTCTCCAGCGTTCTCACCTCTGTCCTCTGGGTCCAAATCTCCCTCCCTTTGAAAGGATGCCAGTGCCTGAATTCGGACACATCCTAATCCAGTATGACCTCACCTTAATTTGATGATGTCTGCAAAGACCCTATATCCCGATGTGGTCATATTCCATATGACCCCATACCAGGGGTAGGACTTGAACCCATCTTTTTAGAAGACACAATTCAACCCACAACACTTGGAGGCAGACACTACATTCTGCTGGGCTCATTCATTCATCCAACATAATGGACTGAAGACCTACTGTGTGCAGAGCCCTATTCCCGACTCAGGGAAATGCGTGCCTGGGGGGAGATGGACCACCCGCAGAGAACCAAGCACATTTCCGGCCTGCAGCTCAAGTGGTGAGAAGTCATGGGGGCCATGAGACAGAGGGGCCCACCTCCACATCCCCGCCTTGTGTCCTCCCTCGTGGAAGTTCACAGTCAAATGAGGGGCCAGCTAGCACGTGATTACAGAATTTGGTGTAAAACGACGGCTTCCATCACAGTTGGGGCCATCAGATCGCAGGTGTGAGCTCACCCAGCAGGTCCAAGCACAGGTTTGGAAATCCTGACGGAGAAGGACACGTGCGGCCGTCGCTCGTGTCTCCACATTTTCCCCCTTGCTCTGACTGTTCATTCCCTGGGACCTCTGTGGGACATGCGGAGCTTTTCCATTTGGGCCTCACATGTCAGAAAACACTCCCATGGACTTGGCTGAGGCATGACCAGCTTCCAGCAAAAAGTCCCATATTAAACCTCATGAAAGCCAACCCTGGAAACGTCGGTGAAGCTGTTAAAAGCTAACAACAGCAAAACAAAGACCAGGAGCACGAAATGTTGTGCTGCGACCTTGCACGAGTTGTGCCCACTGCTCTTTGTCCTGGCCCCTCTGCACTGGGCGCGCGGCAGCCATGGGGCAGCTGCAGCACCTGCTCCTGGGAGCCAGCTGGAGGGCAGAGGCTCGGGCTTCCCTCTGACTTACGGAAATGTAATCTGCATTTTCACAAGATCCCTTGGTGATCTGTTTGCTCACTCAAGATTTAGCAGGCCTGCCCAGGTTCCCCTGGGACCCACTCTAGGTTCCTTCTAACAGAATCAGCACATTCCACAAATGAGGCTAGGGTTTATGTGACTACAGTGACGGCCGGCAGAGTCATCTCCGACTTCTGGAGTTCGGGGAGAATTTCTTCCTGCTTAAAGACTGGAGATTCCGTGCCTATCAATGAGTTAAGGGCATCTATTTTATTATGCATATAAATATTTTGAGGCCGTTGGAGAAAAGGTATAAAATTACTTCTTTGAGGTGTTCCTTCCCACCCTGAAGGAGTTAATGCCCCGGCAAGCAGTCCCGAGAACCGCACTCAGCCTCCAGCAGAAGTCAAAGCACAGCAAAGCCCAGCATCCTGAGCGTCCCCTCCCGGGGAGGCTGCTTGCCTGATACACCACCGCGTGGTTTAGGCATCTTACTTAATCGCTTCCTTTCCTGGTTTTGAACCTGGATTTTGGATTCAAAGGAGACCATGGTCTTGGGGTTATGAGATCCTAACGAACCCGGGGAGTCACGAGACAAGCCGACACCAGCTGCAGGATCGCTTGTCCATCAGGCAACTCTGGGGTCTGCTCATAGCCTCTGTCCACACATTTCAACTGTGACTCATCAAAAGCCAAATTAGCCCATTTTTATAAACATTCTATAGCCTTAACCCCAAATGCTTTTGGGTATCCTGATTGTGCTGGAATCCAGTCATTAGAAGGAAGATCTGGGTCAGTTCCCATACCTCATTCCAGCGTCTAGAACTTTAAAAGAATGTTGCAAAATTAGCCTGTTGGCCCATGCATGCTGTAAAGCCGCCATCGCCTCCTGGGCAGGCTCCCGTGACATGGCACTTGGGTGGCTCAGCTAAGGCCTGCCGCATATGCTGGTCCTGCCGCAGCTTTGCCATACGCCCAAGCTGAGAATGTATCAGATGTCGGGTACCTTGAAAGACGGCGTGGTCTCCCGGTCGACAGGGCGGTGAACGTACACTCTTCCGTTCCCGTGATCGTCTATAGAGAACAAACCAATCTCCGGGTACGCGTCCACACCAGGTCCACTGATTAAATACATTAATGACATGTTGTATGACATATCGTTGAACAGCTGCAAGGGAAAAAATAACGGGAGAAAAGAGGATGAAAATAAACCACGAGGCACACCAAATATCAAGGCCGGGACTCAGGCATCTGGTGAGCCCCACGCCTCGAAATCGCGCACTTAAGGGTTTATCTGAAGGAAACAGAGAGACGTGCAAAGAGGCGGGCGTGAGGTTTGTCACAGTGAGCCAGTGGGAAGAACGCACGTGTCCCTCCCTAGGGAAGAAGCCTAGCGCAGTACCCCCTCCACAGGGCAGGGCCCCCAGCCGTCAGGACTTAACACACTCCGCCCCAGAAAGGAGGCTTCGTCTCACGGGTAAACCAGAAAGACGAGTTGTAGAACGATACGCGTAGCGCAATCCCATCTTGTCAAGGTGGACTCCCCTCGGTGAGACTCTAG